GCGGGTGGGGGCGCATCTCAGCAAGTTCCTGCAAATGGCACAAATATCTTGAATTAGATTCTAGTCACATTTTAATAATTCAAATTTTAAGAACAGAAGCAGTAAATCTGATTTTTCAGGAAAGCAACAGTCGAGGAGACAAAAATTTAAAGGGAAGATGGATTCAATTATCAAAGAAAATAAAAACAAGCTGGAGGTTCGTCACAAAAGCCCAACCAGCGCTTTCTAAAAGCACTGCATACTTTTATTTTTAACTTCTCATGCTAAAATCTGTTGGATAGTAATTCGGAAAATTCTTGAAGTTCATGGATTATCTAGGAGTTTAGCCAAAGGACTTGATGCATTTTGATCTTCTATGTTGAATGGATTATCTACCATGCATATAGAATGGAATAATCCTAGACTTAGCATGGTTAAATAATACATTTATCTTATTTTATTTATTAAGGGTAAAATAATATTTTAGTTTAACCTATTTATAATCTCTTTGTATTTAGATTAAAAGATGTACATTAAAATAAACTGATTAAGGGGAACTCTAGCCTCCTTCTCTAGTATGTTCATATTTATTTTGTCTTCAATTTATTTTGGAGTGATATGGGTTATGTTTATGCAACTCAGGTATTTCATCTTTCTTTTAGTTTTTGTAATTTGGTATTTATGTTCTATTTCTGTAATTATTTTGGTATATTGTCTTCCCTTCAATTTCTACTATTAGATATTTGCGTTTAGTTTTTGCAATTTGTTTTGTGTTTTGAAGTAATCATATAACTTTGAGAAGGTATTTGTTTAGTTTCTGCGATATCTGCTTTATTTATGTAATATGATATTGTTTTTTGCTACTTTTGGAGTCTGGTTCTCTTTGTTTGTTAATTATGGCTACCAAAAGAGATGATTCGTTGCAGTTTGTGAGTGTGAAGTTGGATGGAAAAAAATTATTCATATTGAAGTTATGTAATGAGAAATTTCCTTAAGGATAAAATGATGTGAGGATATGTTAATGGAACTTATATGATACTCTAGTATACTAAGGAGGGAGATGTTGTTTTGATAGATACATGGGAAGCAAACAATGCAAAGATTATTACTTGGATCAACAATTCTGTTGAGCATTTCATAGGTATGCAGTTGGCGAAGTATGAGACGTCAAAGAAGGTTTGAGATCATCTGCAAAAGTTATTCACGTAATCAAATTTTACAAAGTAGTATGAATTAAAGAATGACATATGAGCTCTTTATCAGAAAAATATGATTATTCAGGAGTTTTATTTTGTTATGACAGATCTTTAGGATCAATTGGCTCTATTGAGTGTAGAGAGCAACAATAATTGGTACAGTTTTTAACAACACTTTATAGTGATTTTGAAAGACTTAGAGGTTCAATTCTGCATCGTTCTCCATTATCGTCTGTTGACTATGTTGTCAGTGAGTTATTGGCTGAAGAAATATATCTTTCGTCTTATTCTGAAAAAAAATTCTTTCTACTTCGAATCCTTTTGTTCTAGCAGTACCCTCTAAGCCATTATCTAATCATCAGAATAAGTCTTACATAAGAGTTGACTTTAACGAGTGCAGTTTCTATAAGTAGAAAGGTCATTGGAAGCCTCAACGTCCTAAGTTGAGACAACATAATCAAGTTTGGAAGCATGACAGCCAGTCACAATCTAATGCTCACCACCTAAGGGTTATAAACCACAATACTGCAACATTAGTTTTATCAGGCTCTATCACCAATCGTAGTACTCTAGCTGAGGAATTTTAGAAGTCTCTCCTTACAGTCACAAGCAATGTCTGCAGCTCCTTTTGTAAGTCAGATGCCTCATAGTTCCTCAGGTATGTTATATTTTGAATGGGTCTTAGATTTTAGTGTTTCACATCATATGTCTCTAGATTCCTCATTTTTTACTTTTGTGTCCCCTTCGCCCTCCATTCGTGTTATGACTGCTGATGAAACTCCCATGCACTTAGCAGGTGTTGGTTATACTGTCACACCTCACTTGTCTCTCCCTAATGTTTATCTTATACCAAAACTCAAATTGAGTCTTGCTTTTGCTGGTCAATTATATGATTTTAACGATTATTTAGTCTTTGTTTTTTTGTTGTGTATAGGATCTGTAGTCTCAGAAGTTGAATGGGACAGGCTGTAGGAAGAATTAACTATATATTTTGGATAAGTTAAAAATATCAGTTGTCACTGCTACAAGCCTATTGATTACTACTATTGTTGATTTGTCTTCTTTTTATTTGAATCCTTAATGTTCTAGTTTTTATTTATGGCATTCTCTTCTAAGTTATGTTTCGTTTTCTCGTTTGAGATTTTTGGCATCTATAAGAGCTTTAGGAAATTTGCAAACTTGTGATATTTTTTATTCTAGTAAATTATCTGGCAAAATTTTTCGCTTTACTTTTTAATCGAAATATTTCTATTTTTTCTTTACCATTTGATTTGATTCATTCTGATGTATAGAGACCTTCTTTTGTTACCATAAAATGAGGGTCTCGATATTATGTTTTATTTATTAATAATTATACTCGTTATTGTTGGGCTTATTTAGTCAAACATTGTTCTGAATTCTTTGAGATATAGACAGTCTTTCAAGTTCTTGTCAAAACTCAACATTTTGCTGTAATCAAATACCTTAGATGTAATTTGAGTAGAGAATACACCTCTAATAAATTTCATCAGTCGCTTACCTTAGATAAAACCATTCAGCAAAACTTCATGTATAGATACTCCTGAATAAAATGAAATTGCTGAAAAAAAATATAGGCACATTGTCAAAACTACTCGTTCTCTCTTGTTATTTGCTTTTGTTTCTAAGATGTTTTGGAGAAAAGTTATTCTTACTATTATAAATTTGAATAATACCATTCCTTTTTTTTTTCATTTTCTCATAGTTTGGATAGTGATGGGATTGGTGACTAGTCTATTGATGATGTATTTAGCTATTAAAACATTGTTAAAACAAATTTGGATACAGGTTAAGATTATTGAAAGTATAAATAAAAAAAAGGAAACACGACACACTGTTAAAATCTCATCTGCAAATAGATTAACAAATACAGAAAGCATTTTGTGTTGGTGAAAGTTGATGAATATTTTATGCTCACAAGTAAAAGATGCGTTGGTGACACGACTAAAAGATTGTTGTCTTCTCCCAAGTGCAGGAGTATCGAAGTAATAAATAACCCGGCAAGACCGGGATCGAACCACAGGGAGGTTATTTGTACAAATTATAAATAACAATAATACAACAACAATAACAATAACAATAACAACAACAACAACAACAATAATAACAATAACAATAACAATAACAA